ACACTAGAAGAAATCTGTGACAAAGCTGCTCTACAAGCCCCACCCAAACAAAAGTATGCCATATAATTAGCTGTGACAAAGTTCATATCCAGGTATAACTTTAATTGTGAGATGTAACAATCCAGCAGTTCCACAGAACTAGTTAATTTCCCTATGTGAATATTTTATAAAGAAAGCAACATGTTTAAATTGTAAGCTTCATGTAATAGAAAACAGTAAAATTATGTCTATGAACTTCAAAGAGGTCACTGAAAAACGACATTCGAGACACACTCATAGGATGCGGGTTCTTAACATAGTGTCTTAACTATGTAACCATTAGAAGATGTCAAGTGCCTTATTAACAGAGGGATTAATTTCAGACAAACATCGTTAAAGCACACCAACACAAGTATCTTGCTCTGGGGCAAAAAGCAAGAGGTAACCATACAGCCTTCAGGGGTGGTGAAATCTTGGCAATGACAACCAACACCAACAAGACACGCTTAGTCTGCAACAGCCTCTAGAAATAGGACATGCCTCCCTCCCCAGACTTCACTAACAAAGGAAAGACAACTTTTTCACATTTCTGTTTATTAAAAATGGATACCATAAACAAGACCTGTACAAAAAATATCCAAAATTGCCCAGAATTTGATAACACTTGCATGGTGAGAAGTTATCGTCTTGGGCCCCCTCTTCCTCTTCCACGACCTCGGCCTCTCCCACGGCCTCTGCCACGGCCTCTTCCAGCAACTTAGCAGATGAAACAAAAAGGATAAATCAAGTGAGACCCAGGAATACTTTTGTTTTGATTAAAACATTCTGCATCAAGCAAAAACAACATAATGTCTCATCACAGGGAAGCAGTAAGTTGGATATCAAGTCTGTTAATTCTCAGTAAGTTTCAGACAATATTTTCATCTTTTGTTAGCTTTTTCAGTATACAACTTCCACAGATTGCTGTCTTTGGCTTCACTGCAGAAAACAAGGGGATATAACAGTTGGCTGCTCCCAAATGCTAGGCTAAGTCTGACAGAGAACTATTCTTCTTTTTTTGATAAAATCTAGTTTTTCAGGCACCAGAAAAAGCGTATGCAAGACAGAGTATTTTGTTTACTATTCATTACAGTGGAAAAGATTTTTCTTGGCCACAGCTCGCATTGTGGTTTATAAAGTACGCTGCTGAAGGGAAAAGCGAGTTTTAACACGCTGTGAAACTCCCAAGCTCACCCTTCCTCAGGCACCATGTGAAAGGGCAGCATTTGGAAAGGACCCCAACACCAGGCAGCTCCTGCTGTTTTTCAGCGATGCCTCTGCCAATTTCAAACGTGATTCTCAGGCCAAGGTCTTGGCTGTGTGCTCCTACTTTTAAATACTGCTATTCAATAGTAAAGGGAAGACAGAATCACAGAATAATTCAGGCTCCAAGCGACTGCTGGAGGTCATATGATCCATATGGTGATAACACGTCATTTCATCCCTTTTTCCTAAAGAAGTATGATCTCCCCCATCAGGCTGCAAGGCCACCCTACGAACTTTTGAAATTACTGGTTAATTTCAAACAAGTTTGTCAGTGTAAGGCTCAAAAAGATACCATGAAACTTAAAATTCTGTGGAAGAGTGTGGCTGGACAAGAGACACACAGTAGCATCCACATTCCAGAAGCAGGCTGTAATAATTACTCTGTTCCATCCGAGGGTACAGAGGTTAGAAACACAGTGAAGACAGAAAAAGCAGAGGCATGGGACAAAATTGTGAGAAGGAAGGTGTCACTTGTTTTGCTGGCAGTAGCCTGCTTCTTTGCAAAACACACGGAAGCATCAATACCCAACTAAACAATTACAGCATCTACACGCATCAGTAGATAGCCGTGTTTACCAAGTGCCAGCACACCCAGACCCAAGGCGCACATGCCACGAACATCCCTCAGCCAGCATCCCGCCTGCCACCAACAATTTCATTTGCCAAGGACAGGCCACGTGTTACAAGCTTCTGAAGTCCAAGGGCATTTACAGATTAAGGGAAAGTGCAGCACAACACCAGCTGTGGTCTGAGAGCGCTTCAGTACAGTGAAGACACAAGGAGTATTAAACCGAGGTAGATAGCGCTATCACAGTTCCTTTTGTTTCTTCAAAGTTAAGAAGAAATAGTGATGTTCTTGTTCACATCACACCCTGAGGTTCAGAAAAAAGACAATCCAACCACACTCCAATTTCTCCATGTGGTCAGATTATTTTTAATGGACATGAGAGGAGCAAAACACTCTTGGGAGCCTTCTCCTTATTCTCTATAAAGACAGCAGCCGTAACACTTGCACTTCGTGATGCACGCGCCTGAGGGTTCCTTACACCATTTCAATAAGATAAGCACATCAATTCACAACATACGCATGGATCAAAGACCACAGATCCAAATACTTAAACACTAATTACAGGAGAAATGCTACGACATTATTTTAGAGCACAATTAGCTTTTACTTAAAACTTATTATTTTAAAATCACACAGATTAGCTGTTGGGCAAAATATATACTGCCTGAAGACAACCTACAGATTTTCTGGGGTTTATTGGATATTAATCTTTAACAGCGTGGCTTAAAACCAAATTACTCTCTATACTGTTAGGTTTCTAAGGAAAAGTTTTTTCTTCAACAGCCTTTTTATATAAAAGTTCCAGGAAGAGTGCAGAGTAGAACACTACCGGGAGCCAAAGCTGGAGAGCTGTTCATTGGAATACAGCCTATGCTCCCTCAGATTCTCAAGCCTCCCAAACTCAGTTCTCTGACAGATTATTTTTATCCACTACCAAGTGAGATTTCAGTGAAGCATTCAGCCCTGTTCAAGAGGCTGTTCTGCACTTCCTCATTGGTCTATGTGAAGTTGCCCACACAAACTACGGAAACACAGCAGACATTTGGAGAAAAGGAAATGTAAATCTCTTTGGCGTCAACTCTGAGACTACGATAGGTTAATATTTACTCAAGCTTAAAAACATTTACATTTTTAAAAACAGATGTATGAAAAGCCATACATATAATTTCAGATGACAGAAAGCTCTACAGATGCTAAGAAGGTGGGCAAGGCAGACTTAGCCAGTTCAGTATCAAACCCTCAAAGAAGAAAGAACTAGCTGTCAAATGCAGATATTAAGACACTCAAATCAGATGTCTTCAGATTCAGAGCACTAAAATGCACACAAAGGCAGAACAAAGAAAGATGGGGAAAGATAAACTAACCTGCTTCTCTTTTCTTGGATTTGACTTTTGGTTCAACATCCACTAGCAAAGTATCCAGAGGCAAACTGTCTGGCAGAATGAAGTATCGGATGTTATTCCCTCGAATACTCAGGGTCTCCAGCTGCACAGGTTCTCTGTTCTTCAGCGTCATTTTCACTGCTTTGAGATGCGTATTCATACTGACATCCACTCCTGAAAGAACACAAGTCTAATTTCAGGGAAGAACGCTGCTAAGACAGTCCCTTGTTGGCTATTTTTAAGTATGCACATGCTTCAAGATTTATCCTGTTCATTAACACCTGCTTCTGCCATTCATTAATTAAGCCTTTAACTGAAGGAAACTACATGTCTTTCTCTCTTAAATTACACTTGCTGATTAATCAATTGCTGCCTTGAACACCTTATTGCTAGGGATCTTTTATCTAGGTCTTAGCGACAGCCGTAGCAATTTTGGAAATGGTTAAAACAATTCCTCTGAATAACAAATAAACTGCTGCTTCCTACAGAAGTCCAATACTAGTCTTCTGACTCTTTTTAAAAGAAGCAAAACAAACCTTTGAGGAGGAGAAATAACCTGATCATTTCCTCTTTCTGTAAGCCTTAGAAAAAGTCCAACTGCCAAAGAAGCATTTATTTTCTGATAAAACACATCTAATATCAGTGTGGTATCTTCTATGAAAGTATGTAAAATACACTACCGCAAGGAACAATCACTGTGGTTACAAACTCCATAAACAGCCAGTATGTGAGAGTTGTATGGAATGAGTACTGTGACCACTATGCAGTGCTAACCATAATCCAAAACTAGAAAAAAGTCTCAGCTGAACACGTGTATTGAATAACAGCCCTGAAAAGCATTAAAAAGGGACCTATGTTAATTTTTATTTTGCGCGTTACAAGTCTTGCATGGAATTTCATCTCAAATTATGAAGATCAAAATGAGAGTAACTTTTTCAGATCAAAAATTCAGGCAAAAGATGGAAATTGTAGTTTACAAACACCTGCTAATTCAATAACAGGGCATCCACACGAGCAAAATCTTTTGTGTGTTCAAACTTCTGTACAAACCACCCTTTGCGGTAAAAATAATTATTGTCTCATTTCATAAACACAAAAAGACAAACTGTAAGATGTCTTACCAAGGTAAATAACGTGCAGGCCAGAACCAGAAAAACCATTGTGCTGTGTTTATTCCATATATTTTTCTGTCTTCACCCCTTACTTCTCGATTTTACACAGCTGACACCTGCACTCCACCTGACCTGCACTCTTAGTTCATGTAATGTATGCATTATGTGAAACCCACCCCTTCAGCACACCTGCTCTGCCCAACCGACACACAGAGAGGAAGAGGAGACTGTGCACAGCGATTATGAACATAGTTCACGCACCAGTGTAAAGGGAAGATTGTAATTTTAGAAATATGGATTGCATTCAACGCTTTTACAGATTCTTAGCAGAAAATGAGAGACTGCCCTCAACAATTAAGCCTGCAGGAGCACCGAGGTCAGGAGACAAGCAGTTTGTTTGCTTCCTCCCTAGCTGGGTTCAACAGAGCATGCTCCAATCAGACACCAGGGTGGTGCATTCAGGTCTAATCAAAGCTGATGGATCCAGCTGCAAAATAATGCCAGTTTTTAACTGCCAAATCTCAGCGGAGTGCTACTGGCCAAAAAAGCACATAAGCAATCCCTTGGAATACAACTCTGCCAAGTTTGAATTTTATTCTTTTTTAACAGTGTCGGGGCAGAAGAGCTTCTAAAAGTAGCCTGGGGTGAGTGAAGGAAAGGAGTTCAAGCATGTTCATCAACTTAACTGTAAGGCTTTGCTTCATTAAATACGACATGCCCTACCTACATACCTGATTGTCTCTAAAGTAACGCCAAGGTGAATGTTCTCAGAACAATATCCCTCACTACTATTATTAAAGCAAACAAAATAGTCCGCACATTTTTCAATACATATGAGAACCATTTAATGAACCATGGAGGCTTTTCCTGCAGCTACCAGTTCAGTGCCACAGAGAAGCACCTGCCAGACAGTACTACCCACAAACTTACATGACAGACCTTTGGCAACAGCAGGGGACCAGGTTCTTGACACCAGGATTCCTTTTTGCCCTGTACCCCCCATCAAGCTATAGGTTTTCAAATCAGTTTCATGACATCAACACAAGTATATGCAAAGATGGATTTCCACATAAGTTCACCTTAACCAGAGCTAAAACATGCTCAACAGAAATAATTATTTTTTAGATTAAAATTGCCTACACACAAGGTTTAACCAATTTAAGGCCGTATCAACATTTAACATTTGCCATTTATCTGTACTACCATTAAAAAAGTCCCCCCGCTTCTGGCGATTCAGCTGTAACCTTTTTATATGATTATAGCTTATTACAATTTCACAAGTGAAAGTCAGATGTAATAAAACATCTTATAAAAATTTAGCTGTATATCCACTACCAGTTTGATATGGTAGCAAAACTACCTCACCAGTGTTATCATACTGCTAAAATTCTGAGAGAATACCATGCTTACACCAGCTTTGCCAACAGTTTGGAAAAGTTTACTTCCTTCACCCCCAAGCCTGCTTGTAAGCAAAGCATGCAGTCAGGCTCAGAGGATCCCAGGCTTATGGCAAATTTACTGCCCTCCAGCAACTTCTGCAAATGTCGACTCTTCCGTAACAAACACACCTTAAGCTTGCACATGAAGATGTGAATTAAAAACATCTCCTGTGCTTTACAGAGAAGGTCCCCACAAGAGGGAGTACAAAACAAAAAAGCTCAGCCCAAACCACGGCTGCCAATTGTTAGCAGTGAGGTCCCACCATACCTGTGATAGTTCCATGCACCTGTGTCCCATTCTTCAATTCAATGGTCACAGTCTCATGGCTCAGCTTCATTAGAAACCTAGAAATTCCAAAAAAAAAAAAATAAATTGTTCGCTCCCACATAAAGCATTACACGTTTAACATCCTGATACAGAAAACCCAGGTACAGTGAGTATTCACACATCTCCAGCTTCCAAAGACAGTGTCCCCAGAGCTCGCGGATTCTGCTGAAGACATTTAGTAAGGCATTACACAAGAGCAAGATACAAAAACCAGAACAAACCCCACATCCTACCTAACCACCGGGAGCTGCGACACTTGACTGACACACTGTTGAATCCAGCATCCTACTTCCAGGCCAAGTGATCGTTATTGTACAAAGAAGGATGCATTTTAAAACTTGATACCTCAGGAAGGTGATTCTAACCAAATCG